AACCTGTCCAGCCCCTCTCCCCAAACCCTGCAAATGTGTCTGGCTCTCCTGTCTCCCTCCCCACCCTATAGGACAGTCCAGGAGCAGAGGCCTTGCTGGCTCTGCTGAAAGGGATTAGGGGGTCACAGAAAGGGCCAATATCCTGCCTTTTGGCCTTCACTGTCCATCCACATGCTCCCTAGGACCGCCACCGTTGGCCTCTCAGCCTCTCCTCTCCCTGAGCCTGGAAATGTCTCTTCTTGTCCCCTGAGTGCCTTTATTCTCCACTTGGTGCCCTTCTGGCAGGGAAGGGCCACCTCTCTCTGCCAGGCAATAAACTCAAGCACTTGGTGGGCGCTTAGTATCTGTTGACTAAAAAGACACACAATGTAAGAGTTGCAAGTTAAGTTTTATTTGGGGCAAAACGAAGGCTGCAGCCCCGGAGACAGCACCTCAGATAGCTCTGAGAAACTGTTCCAAAGAGGAAGTGGGGGAAGGTCAGTATATATGATTTTGGTGACGGTGGAAAAGTGAAAGTGTTAGTTGCTCAGTCGTGTCCAACTCTTTGCGACCCCCTGGACTGTAGCCCGCCAGGCTCCTCTGTCCACGGAATTCTCCAAGCAAGACTACTGGAGTGAGTTGCCATGTCCTTCAGGGGATCTTCCTGAAACAGGAATCGAACCTGGGTCTCCTACATTGCAGGCAGCTTCTTTACCATCTGAGCCACAAAAGGCTTTCTTTTGTGTTTAGTGCAGTTAAGCACTTACTCTACAAAAGGTTTTCTGATAGTCATGAGAAGCTGATGTCACCATGAAGGGATTTAGTGATTTTCTAGATATGAGGAGATGCAAGGATTGGGATCTGGACATCAGTTCCTGCAAATATCTAACTATGTAAAGACCTGTTCCATCAGTTTCCCTGGAGCACAGAATGCCTCAGTCTCCACCCTGAATCCCTCTCAGGGGCTGTTGAAGGTCGGCAGCTGCACAGGGTTCAATCTCCTCCACAGAGCAGATGGCGAATGCCCTTGCTATTGTTGTTCAGTCACTGGCAAATGCTCTTGGCTAGTGCCAGTTTGTAGCTGACCTATCTGTAGTGCACAGTGCCAGAGGGTGGGGGGACTCACAGTGGTCTAGGCTCTGCTTACCCACAACATCTTAGGACTGGGTAGGGGGATCCCATGAACATCGTGCATGCTCAGTTCCTCAGTCGTGTCCTACTCTTTGTGACTCTATGGACTGTAGCCCGCCAGGCTCCTCTGCCCATGGGATTCTCCAGGCAAGAATACTGGAGTGGGTCGCCACGCCCTCCTCCAGGAGATCTTCCCAACCCAGCCATCGAACCCATGTCTCTTACATCTCCTGCACTGACAGGAAAGTTCTTTACTCCTAGCACCACCTGGGAAGCCCCACATCACGCTCTGCTGTCAACTGACTACAGTGTGCCCACTACTGCTATGGGCACTCTCCTCGCTTCCCAAAGGCCTGCACGCCACCTGTCTGAGGACCCACTCAGACGATCCTCACTTCTCTGTCCGCCCCGTCAAGATGGGTGTCCCTCCTTGGCCCAAGACCTCAGTACTGCCTACTGCCTACCTGCCTGTCATGACCCAGGCCCTGACTCCAGAGACACAGGGAACCGGGGTACTGAGCCCAGAGCCACTCCTGCCCTCCTCAGCCCTGCAGCCCCCTCTCCCCTTTGGAGTCCATGAAGTCATAGGCCTCTTTTTGCAACTTCCAGCTAAAGGGAGGTGACAGTTCATGTCATCAGGACGGTTCCTGAAAGAGGGGGCTGGAAGGGCTGGGGAGGGCAGGGTGTGGTGGCCGTGGGTGGTGCCATTCAGGCAGCCCCGGCTGCAGGGTGTGAGCATTCCAGGCCCCTGCCTTTGTGAACCTCTGCCCGCCCTCCAAGCCCTGGCTCCCTGAAGGCTCACAGCAAATGTGTGCATGATGGATAAATAGCTCCCCACCCAGTCATAAACCAAAGTCCTTTGTCCACAGTGTTACCAAAGCAGGCTGGAATTATTCAGAAGAGCATTCCTGAAAAGAGAGAAAACATAATCTGGAAAAGGGGCCCAGTCTCTAGACTCAGATGGTCCCCAACTGGGACCAACTACACACTGGCTAGGTGACTTCAGGCCAATGTCTTAACTTCTCTGAATCCTGGCTTTTTCTAATCTAGAAGAGAAAAGAAGATAATAACACGTATCCCTAAGACCTGATGTGAGATAATTGGTATTTTAAAAGAAGCTGACACACAAAATACTTTCCATTCCTGCCCACCATGGAAATAAAGGAGAATCACTATTTTCCGCCTCTCCATTTTTCAAATTGTGTTCTGATGTGGTTATGTTGCTTCTGTTTTTACGGCTCTGATGGAAGCCAAAATGATATACCGGAAACAGCACAAATTGTACAGTTTAATAAGTTTACTCCATGAAAACATCACCACAATCAAGATAATGAACACATCCCTAAAACGCAAAACTGTCCTGTGTCCCTTCCTAACGGCTCCCTCCAGCCCCTCCCCTTCCTACCATGTTTTCCCTAAGCAACCACTGATCTGCTATCATTATCAGTTAGTTCACATTTTCTAGAATTTTACACCATTCTAGAATTCTATAGACAATTATATAGTGTGGATGCTTTATGTCTTACCTTCTTCACCAGCAGTGATTTTGAGGTTCTGCCATGTTCTCCTGTGTATCAACAGTTCATTCCTTTTTACTCTGGTGCTCCGTGGAGTTCAGGGACTTCCCTGGTGGCTCAGATGGTAGAGCGTCTGCCTGCAATGTGGAAGACCCGGGTTTGATCCCTGGGTCGGGAAGGTCCCCTGGAGAAGGAAATGGCAACCCACTTCAGTACTCTTGCCTGGAAAAGTCCATGGACGGAGGAACGTGGCAGGCTACAGTCCATGGGGTTGCAAAGAGTCAGACATGGCTGAGCAACTTCACTTTCTTTCGCTTTCCATGGAGTTCATGTACCATGACCCATTTATTCATTCACGTGTTGATGGATGTTTGAGAAGTTCTGCCATTTTAATTATTCCAAACAAAGTTACTATGAACATTCAAGTATAAACTTTAGTGAGGCCCAGGTTTTCCCTTCTCACTTTTGTTAATATTTACTTATTTTTTTGGCTGCATCAGGTCTCAGCTACAGTACTCAGGATACTTGGGTCATATGGAATCTTTCACTATGGCATGTGAGATCTTAGTGTTCTGATCAGGGATCAAACCTGTGTCCCCTGCATTGAAAAGTGGATACTTAACCCCTGAACCACCAGGGGAGTCCTAGGTTACTTTTTAAAAATGAATTTAATGCAGTTAAATTCAGTGCATCCAGTTTAGTCAGGCTTTTTCCAGGCCAACCTGGAGACAGCAACTGCTTTAACCTCTCTGCTTCCTCCTGTGTATTCTAGATTTCACATGATCATTGTTCTCCTGGATTGAAACAGGGCCTGACAGAACCCCTTGGCCTGGCTGAGAGTGGGAGTGTCAGTTGGCCTGTTCCATCCAGCACGGGTGAGCCCAAGGGTAGGCAGCCTGAACTTACGTCAGCCGAGGAGCTGCCTTTCTGGGAGAGATCCTCCTGCTCCTTTCTCTAGGAAAAAAAAAAAAAGCTTAAATTTGTAAAAAAAGAGAGAAAAATAAGCACAAAATATAAACCACAGAAATCAAGACCAGTTATAACCCAACAGTAACTACCTAAAACAGATTCAAGTGATGGGTGTGCATTGATGAACATAAAGATTGCTTCCAGGACTATAGCGTGGATACTTTTCCCTCATGAATTAAGCTTTTAAATTATCAGCTGTATTGACTTAGTGGCTTCCCAGGTGAAAGTGGTAAAGAATCCACCTGCCAATGCAGGAAATTCAGGACACGAAGGTTCCATCCCTGAGTCAGGAAGATCCCCAGAAGGAGAAAATAGCAACCCACCCCAGTATTCTTGCCTGGGAAATCCCATGGACAGAGAAACCTGGCAGGCTACACAATCCAGGGATTGCAAAGAGTTGGACATGACTAAGCAACTGAGTAGACAGCACACGACTACCCTTGAACCTTGCCTTCATTCACCAGATTGCCATCTGGTGATAACACCTGTGGAGAGCCAGGAAATCTGCTAAAGGCCAGTCCCCGGGAATACAAAGGTGAGCAGACAGTCCTGTGGTGCAGGAGACAGGAAAGAAAGGACCAAGGGAGAGAGGGGAGCTTGTAACAGGGGCACCTGGTCTGTCTGCAAGGGCCTAAGTGAGGTCAAGGGGTGTGGCACACAGCAGAGGCCAGAGGGCTCTGCAGGCCCAGGCCATGGGGGCTTACAGAGCACAGACAGCTGGCGAGCTGGCAGCCTGGACTGCAAAACCCCTTCCTGTTTGTCGATATTCCATCTCCAAAGTCCCGCCTTTGTTTTGTTTTGTTTTGTTTTGTTTTTCAATATCCTGGCACATGATTAATCTTATCCCTAGTCCTGCTTTAAAACAGTTTTAAAAATTGAAATGTAGTTGCTTTACAATTATTTTTGTAGATTATATTCCATTAGAGGTTACCACAAGATGATGAGTATAGTTGCTTATCTTTGTTGCTTCTCTATTTTATATATGGTACTTTGTATCTGTTAATCCCATACCCCTGATGTGTCCCTCCCCTCTTTGACAACCACAAGCTTTGTTTTGTTTTGTTTTTTTCCTGACTCATTCAGTTGCCACCCCCAGGCAGCTCCCTCAGCTGGGTTGGCACGTATTAGAGCTCAGGCCTGGGGTTTGCTGTGCAGGGCAAAGGTTCCACAGGCGCATCATTTCCTCCTCCACCCATGGGAACAGGCGATAAGCTCACTGTTCTGTATGAGTCAGTGGGTTAACTACAGAGTGTGAAGCACCTCGTGGCCTGACATCCAGTAGGAGCTCCGTCAGTGTTCAGAGATGGCCCCTGGATGCTAAACAGCCTTGCCATGGGGTGGGCCCCCTGCCTTGGTTCTGTGGCAGCTTGTTACCAGACTGATGGGGTACTGGGCTCTTCCCTGCTCCCTCCCACCCCGCCTCCTTACACACACTCACGCACACTCACACACACACCCTGCTTCCAACCACTCTTTGCCCTGTTTAAGTTTAGCCCAATCCTGTTCATTCCTCCACACCCTCTGCCCGGATCCTCCCTGTGGACCTGACCATGCCAGCCCCTCCCCATCCTTTACAAATACTCCTGAGGACAGACAGTGCCTTAGATTGCCTATTGCCCCCTGCTCTGCACTGCTAGGTAAGGGTCCAGTTCTGTGGGCTGTGGGAGGGGACAGGAGGGGCTCTGTGAGCTTGTGCTGTGGGCCTGTGTGATCATGGTCTCCCTGGGTATGTGTGTCTGTGTACTGAACTGGTATCTGTGTCACTGTGTCTTGTGCGGGTGTCGTGTGTGTGTGTGTGTGTGTGTGTTGGTCTGTATCTCTCATAAATGCAATGTGGGTCTGTGTGCTGTGTGTCTAGGTGCCTGCCCCCTGCCTGGCCCTGCTCCCACTCCTAGCTCTGCTCTCTACTTGAGTTAGAATTGAATTTGCAGCCTCTAATGTGCCAGGTACAGGGGTTTAACTGAGGTTGAAGGGATTGTATTAGTTCCCTTCCAGAGCCACCAACTCCTATCCCTCAAGCACCTTAGCCTGAACTGGGGAGGGACAGTCTAAGGCCTGTCTTTTTTTTTTTTAAATTGAGGTACAATTATAATTATCAATATCAATATCGATATCAGGTGTACAACAGCTTGTACCTTTTGACCCCCTTCACCCATTTCACCCAAACCCTACTCACCACCTCTGGCAACAACCAATCTGTTCTCTGATTCTATAAGCTCAAAGTTTTGTTTGTTTGTGGATTTTTTTAGATCCCACATGTTAGTGAGATTATACAGTACTTGTCTTTCTCCGACTTATTTCATTCAGCATAAGGCCCTCAAGATCCATCTATGCTGTCACAAATGGCAAGATTTCATTCTCTCTTATGGCTAAATACTATTCATTGTGTATAATATACATTTTATGTATCCATTCATCTGTTGATGGACACTTAGACTGTTTTCATGTCTTGTCTATTGTAAATAATGCTGCAATGAATATATGAGGGTGCATATATTTTTTCAAGTTAGGGTTTTTGTTTTCTTTGGATAAATACCCAACAGTGGAATTACTGGATCATATGGCAGTTCTATTTTTAATTTTTTGAGGAACCTCATACTGTTTTCTGTAGTGGCTGTACCAATTTACATCCCCTTTTCTCCACATCCTCGCCAATATCTTTCTTGTTTTTTGGATAGTAGCCATTCTAATGAGTGTGAGGTGATATCTCATTGTGGTTTTGGCTTCCATTTGCCTGATGATTACTGATGTTGAGCACCTTTTCATGTACCTGCTGGCCATCTGTTTGTCTTCTCTGGAAAAAAAATGTCAAGTTCTCTGCCCATTTCTTAATGGGATGGGTTTTTTTTCCCCAAGGCCAGTCTTTTCTCTTTCTTCCAAGTCAGATCCTGGCTGGCCCTAACATTTTCTTTACCACTCCGTCCCCCAGAACTAGTCCCACGAATCTCTTCGAGACTCATCACTCATTAAGGGGAAGGAGGATGGGGCAAGAAGGATCATAGCATAGCTCAGAGGCTGACCTCAGCTCAACATTTGTGGCCCAAGTAAAAGCCAACAACATAGGTGACTCAAAAGGTACCAGGGTCCTGTCTCGCAAGAGGCTTGGGCTGTTGCAGTATAGATGTATGTGTGTATGTGTATGTGTGTGTGAACATTTGTGCTTCTATGTTCAACAACCAGAGTGCCCTGATGTCAGGCGTTTGGTCTGTATGTTATGTATTATATTTTGAGTTGTGGGTCAGAAGAAAAATGAATATACTGCATTTGCACTGGGTCCATTCTGGAATTGCCCATTATGACTTATGCACCAGCCCCATGCAAGACAATGCCAGCCTTGGCACCAGAGTACCTCAGAAGCCCAGAAGCTCCATCCTCTGATAGCACACTTGTTGGCAGATGACAAATTGACTCAGACCACCAAGCCAGCTTCCACTCCTAGTGGGAAGAGATGGGAACAAGCAGCTTGGATCAGGGAAGGTTTCCATTCATTTGTGCCTTGGAGGCACAGGTCTTAGGGTCCCCTGCCTCCCCCAGAAGCCCCCACCCACTAACCCAGTCCTCCCAGCTCTGGGTGCACTGATCTCCAAGCTTCCCCCTCTGCCTTTATGCCAGACATCCACACAGGGACAAGAGTCTCTAGGGACTGACTGAGTACTATGACCTGACACAGGGCAGGCATGCTACACAAATAATTAACATGATTGAAACTGACCCAAGTAGAAATGAATTAATACATGATTGTGAGTCTGGGGTTGGATCTTGAGAGGTCACATGTAAGGGTATATGGTTCAGGGATACATAATGTTCTCATGTCTCTGTCTACATACCATATGGATAAGCCCACTGCATTCACTCAAGACCCATGCCTGGCACCTACTCAGTGCCCAACTCCATACTGAGTCCCAAGCTAAGCCAGAGGGAGCAGTTTATCCCTTTCATATCTTAAGGGACTATGTGTGTACATCCCTGGGAGGAAGAAGGAGAGATTGAGGTTTAGATTACAGTAAACTAAACTTTACCCATTGATTCATAGGTGTTCCTTTTGTCATTCCCTGTGCCTGCTCCAAAAAGATGGAGCCACGTAAGTACTGTGGTGGGAAGCCATAGCGTGGAAGAAGGAATAAGGAGGAAGGGAGGGTCATGAAGTCAGGGGCAATCAGTCAGTCACATCTATTGAGAGCTCTGTGTGTATGTGTGTGTGTGGTGGTAGGGTTCCAAAATGAAAACAAACCCTATGTTTTTAATATACTCTACAGTTTAAGAAACATGCCCATACATCCTTTATGTTACTAGGTCTTCGGCTTCAGGAATGAAATAGGCAGGGGCTCCCTCCATTGTACACGCGAGCTCCAAGGAAGTTATTGGTCTTTCTCAGGGTGAGGCCCTGAAGGTGTGGCAGGATCTGGAGTTCAGAACTCAGCTCTCGGCAGCTATGCCATTGGCTCCCCTCAAAAGGAACAAAAGACCATGATGGCCCTCAATATAAATCTCATCAAGTAGGTGATTCCCACCAACAGAGCACTTCAAAATACTCAGGACCAGTCAGATAGGTCATGGCAAGAATGAGCACACTGGACCTGAAGCTGGGCAGGCAAGGCAGGCAGGACAGTCCAACCCAAGCGAACTTCCTGCAGGAATGTAACACAGAGTGAAGCAAGAAAGATTTCCAAGTGGCAGGAGACAAGAGCAAAGTCTGAGAGCTGGAACCAGAAGGTCATAAGCAGGAGCAAAGAAACAGCTGAGGAGCTGAGCAGAGATCAGGTTGAGAAATGTGGAATCTGGGGAGAGGGGGCAGAGGAGGAGGCTATGTGGGGCCCACCTGAAGGCGGAAATAAAAGAACCAGGGCGCTTCCTTTAGTGTCATGGAGTTAGACATAGGTTGGGAGGGTACACTTTGTACAGTTTTTGTGTTACAGAAATTAACACAACATTGTAAAACAATTATACTCCAATAATAAAATTAAATTATTTTGTTTTAAAAAAGGTTGAGAGACTTCCCTGGTGGGCCAGGTAGCCAAGACTGTGCTCCCAGTGCAGGAGGTCAAGGTTTGATCCCTGCTTGGAGAACTAGATCCCACATGCCACAACTCAGAGTCCACACACTGCAACTATAACCTAGTGCAGTCAAATAAATTAAAAAAAAAAAAAAAAGGTCAAGGAGGCANAGGAGACGTGGTTTGATCCTTGGTCAGGGAACTGAGATCCCACATGCTGAAGGGCAACTAAACCCACACACTGCAGCTGCTGGGCCTGACAGCTCTAGAGCTCGTGTGACAACTAGAGTCCATGCGCTGCAACGAAAGATCCTGCATGATGCAACAAAGATCTCTTGTGCTGCGGCTAAGACCTAGTGCAGTCAAATAAATTAAAAAAAAAAAAAAAAGGTCAAGGAGGCAGTCAGCTGACAGAGTGAGAACAAGAACCCACACCTCCTAACCAGCCCCACCCCACCCAGGAGAACTCAGCCAACTCTTGAGCAAACAGGGACACACAACTGAGCTTTGCATTCACACAAACACACACACACACACACACACATATGTGTGTGTGTCGAGTGAATGAATGAACGAAGGAATGATGGTCAGGCAACTGGTCAAGTCTGAGGAGCCTTGTTGGGGGAGGACAGTGGAAGGTGGGCACAAAATCAGCACCAGGAAGAAGACAGGATTCTCACTGCAGAACCAAATAACCAAAGCTCTTTGTTTTTTTTTTCTCCTTCGTCTCCCACAGGCCCACAGGTAGGAAATTTCCCCAGCCATCTCCCTTTTCCCTTCCTGCTGTCAGTCCCCTTCCTAGACCATCTGGCTGTAGCCTGGACATCCCCCAAATGTAGCCCGGACATCCCCCAAATGTAGGGTAGGGAGGTCTTAGCCCCAGGGTGGGGGGCATCACAGTGCAAGTCCATCCCCTGCTGGCGGCAGCCTTCTCCTCCACTCCTCCCCAGTTTTCCCATCTGTCCCTCTCCTTTTCTCACATCCCCTCCCTGCCTCAGCAGCTCATCCTCTCTCCTGCTGCTTCCCCTCCTGTTCCATGCTTCTCTGCTTTCCTGGCTACCCACAGCCCTCTCAGATGGCTGGCTTACTCCCAAATCCCAACCACACTACAGGCCTCCCATGACCTGCCTCTGCCTGCCCTCCTCCCTGCTTCCCCTCCCCCAGCCCCCCACCACTAGCAGACCCAACTCCTAGGCCTGGAATGCCCCCACCACAAAAGAGTCATAGAAGAGGCAAGCAGGATGGGAAGTGGCAATTTCCAGGAGTCACTGAGCCTGGATGGGGCAGTGGCTGCCTTAATATTGTCACAGGAAAGATTCCTAACCCTGGAGCCTGCCTCTTTCCCGCAGGTTATAGGCCATTATCAGGTCCTACGAAGCAGAAGCAGAAACTGGGGAGTTATCCAACCCCTAGGGACTTCCCAGGTGGCGCTAGTGGTAAAGAATCTGCCTGCCCATGCAGGAGACTTAGAGACATGGTTTGATACCTGGGTCAGGAAGATTCCCTGGAGGAGGGCAGGGCAACCCACTCCAGTATTCTAGGCAAGAGAAGAGTCAGGTCGCAAAGTCAGATACAACTGAAGCAACTTATGCACACACACAGAGTGGGGCTATAACCCTCCACTGCCTGCTCCTTTGGGGGTCCCAGGCCCCCAGTGCCCAGCACCAGAAGCAAAATTGTGTCTCCTCTCTTCCCTGGGCCTGTGCCAACAGGCAAAGAAACTCTTCTGGCCTCGGGGCCTCAGGAGTGGTTCCAGCCAAGACAGAAGGTTAAACCACCCATTCCAGGACTCTTCTGTCTCAAGCAATAAAACCTTGATTTTACCCTCTATTCTTCCTGATTTCATGAGTCTGGCACCTGCTCAGGGACAGGCACGGGCTCACATATACTCCTATTGACATCTATACACGTAGCCAGGCACATGCACCCATAGGCATGTACCTGTGTACACAGAAGGCCTTTATAGGCTCATGTATACAGACATAACTATTTTTATGTAGAGGCAGTACATATCTTTACCTGCACACATGTACTACCTACATAGAGAACTAGCATATCCTTACCTTTGTCTCCTCCCACCCTTCAGCTGACTCCTCCTTCCCCTTGGCTCCTGCATCTCTCCTCACTGTGCCTCCTGTCTCTTCCGTGCCCCTGGCCCTCACTGAGTTCCTCTGTAGCTTCCCCCAGCCCTACCTTCATTTCTAAGTAGTCAACATGGCAAAACCTCTAATCACTCTTCACGGGTTCTTGGGTGAAGGAAGGGAGAAGATGAGATACTTCAGCTTCTTAGTCACAGATAAAAAAAAACCGAGGTCCAGAGGGTGGGAGTCATATCTCAGCTCAAGGAATAGAACCCAATGAATCTAGTTTCCTCCCATTGTGTCTGCTCTGTGCTCTGGTTTCATCAAGGCAAAAGGCCTAAAACTAGGAGCTGTCACTTGCTATCTCTGTCTCCCAGACCTCTACCATGAGCCCCTACTAGTGCCTAGAAATCCTGAGCCCTCTAGAGGAGGAGCAGCAGAGAGACAAGGGGAAGGGAGAGGAGGAGTTGATCTCAGGTAAGACTGTCACTGACCTCTGACTCTAATATTGTTCATCTGATTTTCCACAGGGACATGGCCATGAGCACAGCCATGGAGGTGGGCACCCTCCTGGCCCTGGGGACCACCATCCCCCTGGCCCTGGGCACAGCCATGGAGGTGGGCACCCTCCTGGCCCTGGGGACCACCATCCCTCTGGCCCTGGGCACAGCCATGGAGGTGGGCACCCTCCTGGCCCTGGGCACAGCCATGGCCCTGGGCACCCCCCTGGCCCTGGAAACCACCCTCCATGTCCCCACCCTGGATCAGGGCACTGTCCTGGAAGGGGCCACCCACCAGGGCCCCCTGGGCACCCCCCTGGTCCACATCACTGAGGAAGCAGAAGAAAAGGACCCAAGAATGTGGAGCCTGATCTAGCATGGAGCCTGAACCAGAATCTTCTGTTCCTAATAAACAGCCTCCTAGAGGCCACATTCTACTCCTAAAAGAGCCTGTCTTCCTTCACATCCAACCTGACACTCAGGGGGCCCAGTGGTCTCTGAATTTCCTAGTTATGAAATTGGTACCCAGTCAGGCATACTCAGTAGTTTGGTTCAGTGGTGTCCACAGCACATGACTAAATAAGGTCACCCCTTCTTTGTTTTCACTTCTGCCCCATGCCCCATTAAAAGGTCTCAAGGATGGTCTCATCACCTCTACCACATCATATACACTCAGACACGGTGGGCTGTGCATGCCTCCTTCTAGAAGGATCCATAGAAGCCTTCAGCGGATCCTGAACTGACTATCCCCTGAAAATATATAGAACTTTCCAGACTGCTTAACTTTGCACAGTTTCCCCATCACCACCAGCTCCACCTCAGCCCCGGTCAGGAATGCCTTCCTTCCAAGCCAACTAAAGCTCTACCATCAACATGAAGCCTTCCCTAAAGCCCTTTAGGATGAGGTCCTCTCTGTCTTTGCACATTGCTCCTTTCTCTGCAGCTTATATTGACCATTTCATGGGCCCAACCACACCCTACCCAGTTGGCATCAACTAATGGGACAGCTTCTATCTCTCCAACCAAATTAGGCTACTCAGGGAAGGGCCACCACTTCTACACCTCTAGACTCCCCCACCCTCATCCCCTACTCGTCTATACTTTGCAAAGAGTGGTGTTTGCACACAGTTTAGGGATACCCAGAGTCCAGACACTACTGGGTTCTGACTCTTCCCAGCCCTATTCTTCAGCCAAGGCATCTCCCAAACATACAGACATCCTGCTTGCTGTAAAACCCGTTCTACCCATTCAAATTCCACATTTGGGGGCCTCTCTACTTCCCAACTCCTAGGCTTCTCACAGGGACCCTACCTATTCTAGTGCTACCACAGCTCTCCAACCATGCCTCTCCACCTCCCAACACACTGCCCCTCTCTCACATCCATTCCCTGATAGGGGAGGCAGCAAGAACTCGGAAATGAGTGGCTAATGAGTACATTTCCAGGTTGAAGTGGGGTAGTTATAAGAAAAGGAGCTGGGGATTCTCTGAGTCGCTTCTCTCTCTTCCGGGTCATACTCGCACTTGAATAACAGAATCGAGGCTCCACATTTGAGGGGCACAGAGCCAGGTCCAGACCAACTTGGAGAAAGACCCAACTTGAACAGGTGCCTAGCCTCACTGGGAAGGAAGTGGTAAGGGTCTGCTGAGGGAAGCTCAGAGAAATGTGGGAGTAAAAGTAGCCCAAATTTTCAACCCCTCAGCATCCTGAGCAGTAAAGTGCCGGCATGGAGCTGCTTGCTCTTCTGGGCTTGAAGAATCAGCGTTACAAGTAATGAGGATCTCGACACGGAGCCTGGGGTCGCGTTTCCTGTTCCCTCACGTAAGACCGATCCCCCCCAGAAACGCCGGTGTGCGAGCTACAGCCAGATGGCCAGACTCCTAACAGCAGCTGTCAGACATGTCCTGGGTAGAGGGGCCCACAGCACCAGCTCTGGGAGTCTTTTAAAGAAAGACAGGGAGCCCCCAGCTCCTACAGCGCCGCGGCGGGAAGCCTCTGTCCCCGCCCCCCAGTGACGCGCCCATTGGCCAAGCTCTTCCTCGGCCCCGCCCAGCGACCGGCCCGCTTGGCGTCGACGCATGCGCAGGAACCCGCCGCCGCCACCGCCGCGCCGCGCTGCCGCCGCTTCAGCACCAGCGCCCGGACAGCGGCGCCGCCCACGGGCATGGACGGTGGTGGCGACAGCAGCAGCAGCGATCCGGTTCCCGGCCCGGGTCCGGAAGGGGAGCAGCGGCCCGAGGGGGAGCTTTTGGCCCCAGAAGGCAGCTCCCCGGACAGGTAGGGGCGGACTGTTCCGCAGACCCAGCTCTCAGTCCTTCCCAGAACCCGCGCCCCAGATATTCCCAGTAGCCGCCATATGTCGCCCCATTCATTCCCCAGACCCTCCCAGAGCCCGTTCTGGCGCCTCCAGACTCCTGGCCCCCAGGCCACGCCCTCTCTCTGCCGGGTCGATTTTCACTCTCCCTGATACCCCCTAATATCAACCCCCTTCGCCCTCGCTGCCCCCGGGACCTGCCCCACCCACTGTTTCTACCTTACCTCTAAGACCCCGAGTTCCCCCTGCCCCCACGTCTTCTCTGTAAGCCCCAAGCCTGCAGCAACCTCACTCCGGGTTCCAGCATGTCAATGTGTTCGAGGATGCGTGTGTATTATAGATGGGCTCACCAAGGTGTATATCCTAGGGAGAGGGCAGACACTCGGCCACCAAACTAGGGTTTGTCTTTGTCCATCACCATCAGTCTCCGGTCTGCCGCCCTGCATGCCAGCTGCGCACGTGTGGGCTGGAGTCCCCACATGTGGCAGCCACCTGCACTCTTTGGATGTGATGGGTTGGCAGGCTCTGGGACTCAGGTCGCGGTCAGTACCTTCCCTGAAGGAGCACTAGGCTGGCAGGACAGAAGGAACACCTACCCGCTGAGAGCCCAGATCTTGGTGCCTCTCCTCTCCCTTCCTCCACCATATGTGTGAGGGAACAGCCCAGCCAGGTAACAATATGGCGCAATTTCTGTGCCCTGCTTGTTCTGCCGCCCCTAGGATCCCTCACCTGACATGACGCTGCCTCTCTCTCCTGCCTGGACTGAAATACGAAGCATTCTTTGGGGGCAAAAGCAGAGGTGGACACATTATCTCCAGACTGCCCCAGTTAAATGTATATTCTGTACCTCAGAGTGAAGAAGAGACCCCACAAGCAGAGAGAAATGTTTCCTTCCCTCTGCTGTCAATCCAGCCTGGATAGATTTAGCCACCTTTCAGACTGAAAGGCACAGAACTTTCTTCAATGGGATGAGAGACAGGATCAATGTGCTCCTTGGACCAGGGGACTGCCTGGCACTATGGCCCAACCAAAGAGCCAAGGATGGCCAAGGCAGAGACAGTGACAGGGCAGGGGCCAGGAGCATCCTTAGAAGGGGCTGGAGAGTCTTTTGCTGCCTCAGATATTTCACCCAGGCTCAGCCCTATCTTGGTCTACTCACTTCCCCTGCACGCAGGGCTCATACTTGGACACAGGAACTATTTGCTGTCTTCTAGTAACTCCCTGAGACCTCTGACCCCTCTCTGCACCTCCCCAGAGACCCTGGACAAATCAGGCAAAGGGACTCATTTCAGTCCAAGAAACAAAAATTATTCCTGCTGAACTAAGCAGCACTCTAGAGAGTGAATAAGACAGCACATGCACGCACACACGTGCGCGCGCGTATACACACACACACACACACACAATTTACTAATGTACAGACAACAGGGCAATTTGAAACAGCTCATTCTTTGCATCTTTAAAATTACTTTTTATTTTCCTGGTGGCATGAACTGCTCCCTCATCTGTCCTGATCATTCTGCCTGATCACATGGATGTTCATATAGCTATATGTCTGTGGGCTTGGGGCACGGTTAATACTCCTGTATATTTGCCCCTTACAGGGCTCCCAAGTGAGGGTCTGGGGCACTATTAGCCAGGCCCTGACTTCTATGGCCATGAGTCAGACCTGTGTCTTCACTTTTCATTAACCTTCCTACCTGCTCCAGTCACTTGGCCTACAGGCCAATGTGCCCAGGCAAGCAGCCCAGGAAACTGCTCATCCCAGTCAGAGCCATGGAACTGAGAGAGTGAGAAAGAAAGCCCCCAGGAGAAGCAAGGCAGATAGCTGATCCTAGGTTCCTGGAGAGGGATAAAAGGGATTGACAGGAAGGGGCTGGGCTAGGGAGATCCCAGTAGAAGCAAACCAATGGTGGAGACTGAAATCCCCCTTGAACAGGAGCCTGCTAAGCAAGGGGGTTGCTGATGAGATTTGGTAGGCTGGTTAAGGAGGACTGAGTTCAGTTCTCAGCCACAACCCCCTGGAGTTCTGGCTTCCCTTCATGAAAAAGAAACTGACACTCCAAGTGGGGACTTGACTCCTAAGACAAGCCCAAGCTCAGTGATGCTTTAAGATCACGGGCAGCTGAAATAGGCACCCTGGCTGCCCCACCCTCATGACTCTGGAAAGCAGGCCCTAGTCTAAAGAGGGAGACCAAGACTAAAATGGGTCACCTTGTGCTTCCCTGGTGATCCAGTGGTTAGGACTCCACCTTTCAAGGCAGGGGGCATGGGTTCAATCCCTGATCTGGGAACTAAGGTTCCACACCCCACAGGGTGCAACCAAAAATGTATACAAAATAAAATGGGTCACCTTCATGCCTTCAAGGTCCAACCCAGACCAAGCACAGGGCGCAGCATGTGGCAAGTGCTCAGAAAAGAGTAAAAATCTTAAAGAAATAGATATCCCCACTTATACATATGAAACCCAGGTCATTTTTCCAGCTTCCCTTTGGCCCATAGGGAGGGAGATATGAGGGATTTATCTGCCAGGACACTGGTTGCTATGTCATTAACTTTATGGGGTCATCTGAGGTCTTGCTTGAGAACTTCAGTCAAATTCCTATTTTTCTAAATGCACAGTTAGTAAAAAGAAGAAGAAGAAGAAGAAAAAGTAGTGGTTTAAATCATGAGACAAATTCTAATGCAGCTTTTGATAACAAAAAGAAAAGTACTGGGAGTTCCCTGGTGGCCCAGTGGCTAAGGCTCCATGCCCCTGACATAGGGGGACTGGATTCTATCCCTGGTCAGGGAACTAGATCCCACATGCTGCAGCTAAGACCCAGCACAACCAGAAACAAATAAATATTTAAAAAAAAGAAAAGTAATTATAATTATGTATGTAGAGAGATTCTTAAGGTGTGAGAAGTTCTCAAATGGAGACATATTATCTGAAGTGCCTAAAGAGTTCAAATTGTAAATATAAATATACTTCTTAATCTACACACTTCCTGCAGCACTGAATATGAAGAGGCAGGAAAGCAAATGTCTTCCACATACCAGGCTCCATGCCAGGCACCTCACAGATCTTACCTCAGTTAATTCCCATACTAACTTGAGAGGGGGACCTTATCCTCATACCCTCAC